ACATAATTAAGATCCTCGATGTTCCTGGACTCCCAAAGATGTCCAACCAATATGTCTTTTTGGTTATAGAAGGCTTCTTTTTTCAGATGGAATAGCCCTGATGCACGTGGTGTTCTTTTAGTCATGGTGCCCGGATTTGGGGGTCATTGTTGGTGTGCATTTCACCAATATTGGGGAGACCTTTTCTGCCTCTATTTCATTCTACTTTTCATAAAAAAGAGTGTCAAGCTCCGTATTCACAAGGATAATCTCGGGAAATGGGAGAGAGAAATTGGGCATACCCATGGTAGGGGATGGGGTGGATCCCTAGATGCATATTCATCATCAGATTCTAGGTGAAAATCAACAATAGAGAATTTTGTTCCGGGGTTTTTTCGTTCTTTATAATGGTGGCATGTTTTTCTCGTGATGTTGTCACAACTTGTGGATTTGAATTGTATAGTAGATGGGATTTTGGAGGTTGGTGAAACGTGGGGTGGGGTTGGTGGCCTTTGGTTTATGTGGTGGAGGTGAGCTTTTAGATGTGGGGGTGGGTTTGTCGAATGGAGGAGCTATGGGTTTATGAGACATGGCCAATGGGGAGGGTATGGGAGCCGGGTTTGGCTGGGGTTGAGCTATTTTTGTAAGAGTTGGCCTAGAAAGTTGGGGGAGATCCATGTTAGATGTAAGTGACCTTTATCTTTTTAGGGCTTTGTGATATGGCCACAGTTTCTATGATGGGTAAATTTGGGATTGTTGAGTCTATTGTACTTGAGAAGCTCCTTTAGGTGATGTGCTTAATCACCAAGTTCGAGATGGACTGATCAAGTTCCAATAGTCTTTTTTTTTTTTTTTTTTTAATTTTCTAATTCATTAATTTTACCGTGTTAATCCAATATTTTAAAAATTATTGTTTTAGTTTTATTGTGATTCGATTGGAGCTTCTTTTTGTTTGGATTTACTTTTTCTTATCCTCTAAGAGTTCTTCCTTAAAAGGGGTATATGGCTTAGTTTATATTGCCTTTTAATCATAGAAAAAGTGTTTTTAGAACTGATTTATATTGCTTTTTAATAAATCTGATTTGGGAGAACGTTTCAAATAAACTGACCGGCAAGAAGAGTGTCATCAAGTGAGCGCGTATTCATCTTCTTTCGATGTTGTGATGGCGATTTAATTTTCCCTCTTCGTCTTTGGAGTTGTACTTATACATCGTTTCCTATATTTTGCTACTATTTCCTCATTTAATTTACATGCAATTTGGAATCGAATCTAATTTATTGATTGTTTCTTTTGATTCTCAAAATTTATCAGTTCAATTCCTGGAATGTACAAAATTGTCCGTCCAGCTATTGGGGAGTCGCTAAGGTATTGAATTAAAATGGTTATGGCTTCTCTTCATAGATTCTGTTATTTCCTTCTTTTTTTTATTTATTTATTATTATTTCTTTTTCATTGTTCCATTTTACGACAGGGAAATGTCTCTCTCTGAGTTACGAAGCAAATATCGCAAGACACCATCTTTAGAGAAGGCTCGTAGTGGGTGGGAAGATGAGTATGACATTTCCTCGAAACAGGTAAATATCATTAAAGGGCATTTTCTGGTTAAGTGCCTACTGCCTTAAAGAGCTTTTTCGTGGTTCTTTTTTTTTTTTTTTTTATAATATTTCTTCAGTTTATTTCCTCAAATTGGAGTGCCCTATACCACACTGTTTTTAAAAATTATTCTACTTCTGTTATCATCTTAGATTGGGGATGTTCTGTTTGATCCCTCTTTTAGGTAAGGGGATTCCTAAGCTCCTTGGCGTTTAAGTTACCTTGTTTATGGAAAGAGGTTTGGGTGTCTTCTACTAAGATTTTTTCTCAGAAAATTTAAATTTTTAATTTTGACTTGGTTCCTATTTCCTTCCATGGTCTTGAGGCTTTTCCTCTTGAAGATGTGAGGCATACCCCCAATTTTAATTAATTAAAAACATTATACAAATGTGTGTGTATATATATATTAGAAGAGACATATTTCATTGATGAATGAAAATAAAAATAAAGAAAGAAAGAAAGAAACCTCCGAACACCAGTAGGTGATTACAATAAAGCTCTCCCGTTGGACCAATAAAGAAGACTAGTCACTAAAAGGGGGTTTATTCTTGCACTTATACAAAGTATGAAAAAGAATCATCAAAGTGTAGAAAGAGTCCCTAAAAATACTTGATTAAAAATAAGCCATAAAGTCTTTTGTAGACCCTTGAAAGGATGTCCCTGGAAATCGAATCAAGTAACTTATAGCTGGTGTTTGGTGATGCCAAGGACCAGCGAACAACATCAAGCATAATTTCCCAGTACCAAAAAGCAAAAGTGCAATGTGCACAGAGATGAGAAGGATACTCTGAGTTGGAACAACGTGGTGAGAAGGCAAAATGAGACGACTGTCTTTGCAACCAATCACAGCTGTATTGATTGCTCCATGACTAAGCTCCCAAAGAAGGATTTTAATTTTCTTAGGATAAACATCTTTCCAAATCACCGAATAAGGATTGTCTGCTTAAGGACTAATGTCATGCACAAGATCTCCCATGAGAGACTTAACGGTAAAAACTTTAGAAGAATCAAGAGGCCAAACCCTAGAGTCACCTACAGGTGGTAAGATAATTGGCAGCAACCGATCGGAGAGATGAGCCCATTCGTTGACCTCAAATCAGTATGATTGCGCTAAAGACCCAAAATCGAAGCAGCAGCTGAACTATTCCAGACTTGAGCTACGGAAGCATGTGGTCTAGTTGTTAATCCAAAAAGCCGAGGAAAAGCCATAGCAATCTGCCCACAGTTCAACCGAGAATCGTGCGGAAAAAAAAGCGCGAATACAATTGCCAATTCATGTACTTTCAATTAAGAGGTCCAAGGGTTAAATCCCTCCCAATATTGTTATACTCAAAAAAGAAAAATAAAATAAATAAACTTTTTCCCTTTATATCAACTGAACAGGTGCAGCATTTATGTTTTAATGTGTCATTGCTTGGTGAACGGGCCTTCAGTTTTATCTATTATTTTTGTTATATTTCTCTACCATTTCCTCCTATTATGCCAGTAACATTCAGACTTACCTGTTTCCAGTGCATGCATGGACCGAATTGTAAGCTTGGAAACTTTTGTACGGTTGGCAGGAGAATACAAGAAGTTAATGTTTTGGGTGGCCTTATTCTCCCCGTTTGGGGAACTATTGAAAAAGCCCTTTCTAAACAGGTATGCTCGCTATAACTTCCGAGTCAAGTATTCATCTCTTGTTAGTAGGCAAAGATATTAATCTGCTTTAATTCAGATAGTAAATCGTATGCTAAAATGGTATGGATGGGCATTGACTGCATTATTAACCTTCTCCAATAAATTCCTAACAGGCACGTCAAAGTCACAAACGCCTTCACGTTGTACGTATAGAAACTACCACAGATAATCAGAGAATCGTCGGGCTATTTGTTCCAAACGCAGCGGTTGAATCAGTACTTCAAGGTATCTCTCAGCTCTCTCATATAATTATGTGTAGTTCACTGTTTCATGCTTAATGTTTGCTCTGTTAAAAAACAGTAGAATTTGAGAAGGGGAAAGTAGGAATCATTTCCTAATTTGTGAAAAATCTGTCACAGGTTTGGCATGGGTACAAGATATAGATGATTGAAATGATAGTGATTACTGATTACTGTTGATTCCCTGTAATATTTCTACACTGCTCCTACGAAGAAGCTATTGAAGGGGTTTGAAGAACTGCTGATTCTATTTTTTTCTGCACCGTGCAATGGAACTGTGCAGTCTCAATAGTTAATTTTTTTTTGGGTATATATGATTTGTATATTAGCAATGCTTCGTAGAAGATATAGGAGGGGTGCAGTAGGGGTCAGTGTTTATTATACCTCCTAATCTTGTTTAATCTTCTTTTATGTCTTCATATAGTACATCAAATTACAGTTGGAAATAGAAAACCCCTCCCATTTGCCATTTTGTACAGTTTTTTTTTTTTTTTTTTTCCTCTGACTAACAGAAGTTCCATACCTAATATTCCTGAAGAGTAGTTTGTTTGGAAGTGCACAAATTTGCCATAGCATTGAAAAAAGCTCGACATTGCCAGCTTTTATGGTCTTTTCAGATGCACTCATTGTGATCTCTGGCATTTCCACAAACCCATTAGTGTTGGGTCCATGGGCCAATTGGGTTTGGACGATGAATTTGAGATTTTTTTTATTTTGAGTTTATATTTTGTATCTTATTGTTGAAAAAAGTGTCTTTACCTGTTTTTTTTTTTTTTGTTATGGTGCATCTTATTATTTTGAACCATTTTGAGATACTTCCTCGAATGGAGTCATGCATTTATGATATGATTCCTAAAATTTAGTTGCTATACTTGTGAGTTTCATGAAGTCCAAAATTTATGTAGCAAATACATAGTTTTTTTTTTTTACTTATAAAACCTAACCTATCTAATATACGAAAGACCAAATAAAGTTTCGGCAGAATTTTCAAATGATGGGAGGCCTGGTTGTTCATCTAACCATGTTAATCTGTAATGTCAGAAAGCTTGCATTTTCAGCTTGCATTTTCCTCTTGGACTAGGTCATTTTGGGGCATGCAGATCATTACTAATGAAAATGATTTGTAGTTCTTGCAAAGTGGAACTGTGCAGTAACGAGACACGAGATAGATCTTTCAACGAACAAAACTTTTTTCGAATAAGCCAATTCATTTGAGATCATGCAGATCTACTCTTTTTCCTATTCGAAGATTAGCCTTCTGTCTCTGCGTTTTTGCATCGAAAATTCTTTGTAGACGAAGAGATGTCAAAGGGGCTGTTTACTTCCCAAACATTGAGTACATAAAGCAAATGGTAGTGGTTTGTGGAGAATTGGTTGTTTACGAACCAGAGACATCTTTACTATTTAACTTTAGTCCTGGGTTAACAACGAACTTTACAAGATTTGCGTAAATAGACCAACATAACAAATTGGAAAACACAACATATTGTGCTATTATGTCTATAATATTTTCTGATACAACAATCATGTATTCCATTCAATCAAATCTTGCACACTATGAACAATATATAACTACAAAGCCCTTTAGGAGTGGTACCCCAAGGACTCTTAATTTCATACGCAATAAACATTACCCAACAAAAAGGATATAATTTTATTTTCCAAAAAAAGCAAACGCCAAGAAACAAAGTCACTCACTTTCTTCTGCGGTTAATGAAATTGCAATTGACTCGAATTTCGCCTTCATTTTTCCTCACCAGCACTCCAACATTCCCCAATTTCACCATCGACGCCGAAAATTGGCTTTCAAAAAGAAACGGTTGATTTCCCATCAAATCAACAAACGAAGAAGTTCTTTCATCCGATTGCAGCGCTTGATCCGTCGTAAGAAGCCCTAATTTCTTCTGAAGATTCTTGAAGTAAGCAGTATCGAACATTTTCGGAGTCGTTGCGTCGAGAAAAACGAGATCCATATCCTTCTTACACTGCCTTCGAAGTAAATTCAGAAATGGAGGTTTCAGATTCGGGTCGGGTTTTCGGGTCCTGTTGAAGTTGTATAGCCTATCATTGAAGGTGTGGCAGGCGGCTCGGCCGATGGTGTGGGCGCCGGAGAGGGCGACCAAATCGAGGACGTCGAGCCCTAGGTGTCGGAAGTAGTCGATCAAAGCGGTGACGTTTTCCCGGCCCTGAGGGACACGTTCTGCTTCGGCAGCGATGGTGATTCTTCCGTCTTTACGGCCAAATGGAACCTCCCAGAAGGGACCTCCGGCGAGAATGGTGGCGTCTCTGGCGGCGGCGGTGAGAATGTCGGAGCAGGAGACGGTTCTAGGGCATTTTCTCTCGAGCTCAGCCTTGATGTCGTCGATCACTCGGAAACCCCTGAGGGTTTTGCTGGCTAAGGCTCTTCTCTCGCTTCTTCGATAGTTCAGTAGAATCGACGCATCGCAACCCTATTTTGAATTTACAAATATTCATTAATCTTTATATATAAATCAATTTTAAAATATTAAAACATAAATAAAATTTTATTTATATTTAATTAACTAATCTTAATCATCTAATTAACTTTATTTAACTAAGATTAATTATCTAATTAAATATATTTAGGATATGTTATTGCATTCATTTAATAATAATTTTTTACAAAAAAAAAACGAATAAAGTAAATATTTAAATAAATTAATATTGATTTATTAAATTTAATTAATTAAATACGTTAATATTGATACATTAATATTAGTTAGTTAATGAATTAATGAGAATAAAAGAAAATTGGTGGGTCCTTAGGTATTTAAAACACTAAAACAATTTAAGAACGATTTGAGCGAGGTTTAACCAAAATTTATAGGAGTCAAATTTAAACTTTTGAACGTTAAAACTATAGAGATTAAACTCGTAATTTAATCGTAGGTACATATATAGTCAACTCACCCTAACTGCACAATCGTGAAAATGCAAACGAATGAGGGCAGCAGCCAACGTGAAATCCTTGTTGACCCAAGCTTGCACTTTTCGATGAATGATGCCCTCAGCATCTGGACATGTCCGACGATAAAAGGAGTGGGACAATAGAGAGGCCGGTGGCGGCGGTGCACGACTCACCATAGAGGCGGCGGTAATCACCGGTTGAACCCCGAGAGCCGCCGTGACCAAATGAAGATGGAAGAGGAGGAAGAGGACGAAAGAAGCCATTGAAGCCATTGATGAATAATGTGATTTTGATTTGGATATGGTTATAAAGAGAGGAAGATGTTCGTGGGAAGCACTAATATTCAAACATTAAGCTTACATGCAAACATGTCTTCTTTATCTTATATTATCATTTCTTCAAATTATTTTATTACAATTTCAACCTTTATTTTTCAATTTTTAAAAGATAAAATGTTGAAAGAACAAAAAAAAGCCCTTAATTTTGAACGAATTTAAAAAATAAATTATAACTTACTAAAAGAACCTTCCATTTTTTTTTGAATGGCTCGAGGTTAATTTTGATTTGGTTATTACAGTTTAAAATTCGACAATTCTAGACCCAATACTCATCTTGAGGTTCTCGAGTACTTGAGCTATTAAAATTTCAACCTCATTAATTTTTTTTCCTTCGTTTCTCTCGTTGACATGTTATATTGAAAGTTTTTGTGATGTCCCACATTGGTTGGGAGGAGAACAAACCACCATTTATAAGAGTGTGGAACCTTCTCCTAAAAGACGCATTTTAAAGTCGGGAAACTCGAAAGGGAAAGCCCAAAGAGGATAATATATGCTAACGGTGGATCTAGCCCGTTACAATTTTAATATGTTCATATCTCATAAAGTCAACAATCAAAGATTAATATCTCAAATAGATGAAATCCTTCGAGTAAAATAAACCCGACACTAAAAAATGCAAGCTTCAAAACTATTATAAACCGATAGAACTTTCAATAAAAATAAAGAAACATAAAAGAAAATAACAATAAAAGAAAATAGTAAATTTTTTATTTAATTAAATTTTTAGGAGAGAAAAAAAAAAGAGTGAAAAGAGGAGAATGGTTGGTGAAGACAACCAAACATTCCTCTCTTCATCCCATTTTCTTTTTGTTGTATGGAAATAAAGATATTTTATTTAATATTACATATATAAAAATAAAATAAACTTTTAAATATTTAAATTTTTCTAAAATTCAATTATAGTAATGTATTTTAATTTAATATAATTTAGTGAATATAATATTAATTGATTATTCAAATTTTCAAAGTCCAATTACTGAATAAAAAATTAATATATTACGTCATATTTGTTATAGATATTTTTTAAGAAAATTATTAAAAAATGTTTGACCTATGAGAACGGTGAATTAAAACTAATTAAAAATAATTAATAAATAAGGAAAATGAAATAATTAGGTTGTAAGGGAGCCACAAACCGGCACGGTTTAATTTTTATGTTTAAAATTTTAAAAACTAATTTAAATTATTAATTAATAATTATAATAATCAAAATAGTCGGTTACAGTCACATGGACTCTCTCACGGTATGCAATAAAAAGCTGACACATTTACATTTTTTATATTTAAAAAAAATCATATTTTTTTTTCAATTCCAAATAAATAGAGGAATATTATTGGGAAGGATCGTGTAATGTTATTGCAACTTCCACTCATCTTTCTCCACGTGGAATTTTTCATGTGGCGCTAATTAGTACAATTGATACAGCGCGTTTTACTGTCCAATCAATAATTCTCCAAGCGAGTGAAGTAGTATCGTCTTCTGATGTGTATTGTCTTTCAATGATAGACTAAGTTTTTCACCAACTATATGACACTCTAACTATCTGTATCGTTCATATTCTCTTCTTTTCAGCTTTAGCTATTGTCACGAACTAAGCCTCGTTGCAGCTCAACCTCAACTCCCACTTACTTCATTGTCCCGAAACCTTTCTTCTATTTGTTCTTGTACAAGACATTTTCATCAAAAGTCACGTCACAGTGTCAAAAATTTTATGTTCTTATCATCCCAAAATCTATACCGGATATGTCAGAACCATAGTCTATGAAGTAGCACTTCACAGCCTTAGTTTCAAGTTTGTCTCTCTTCTCGGGATCAACATGAATATAAGCAGTGTAACCAAAACTTTTCAAGTGAGAGTACTTGAGTTTTTTTCCTGGCCATACCTCTTCTGCCAATTTGAAATCTAAGGGTACTAACGACCCTTTATCAAGTAGGTTGTTGTATTCACAACACCAACCCAAAATGTCTTTGGTAGTCCCGAATGAATTCTCATACTTCTTGTCCGCTTATTCAATGTTTTGTTCATCCTTTCTGCAAGAAACTGTCCTCGCTTATTTAATTACCTCAGCTGCACAAAATGTTTTAAATTCTGACTTATCGTACTCTTCTCCATTGTCATACCTCAGACATTTGATCTTCAAGCCGATCTGATTTTCACTTTCAGTTTTTCACTTATTGAAGGTGACAAATACGTTTGACTTATGTTTCAGGAAATAAACTCATATCTTCATGCTGAAATCATCGATGAATGAGACGTAGAACTTTGATCTACCAAGTGATGGAATTGGAGATGGTCCCAAACGTCTGTATAGACCGTTTCCAACCGCTCTTTCTTCGATTCTCTGGTCGCATTTGTTAAGCTAACACTCATTTTTGTTTACCATAATGCAGCTCTCACAAAGACTCATATCAACCGATTTTAGACTTTCTAGACCTCCTTTCGCAACCAACATCTTTATTCCATTGAAACTCATGTCCAAGTCTATTGTGTCTTAGACTTGAATTGGAAGCACTCTCAGCAATAACAACCGTGTGTTACACACCCCGACAATGGTGTATAAGGTTCCAGATTTTGTGTCACGTGCTACCATAATAGTGCCATTCACAATTTCCACAAATTCTTCCCAAACTTTCCTGCATAATCCGTGATATCCGTTATCCGACTAACAAAAAGAGATCAAATTTTTCTTGAGACCATGAATATACCTGACATCATTTAATATTCACTGATTTTCTGCTCGAGTTTGTATGCTGGCATGCACCTTCCTTCAATCTCCAAGGTTTTATTGCCAGCAAGATACACCTTTTCGAAATGTCCTTATTTAAAATTTCGAAACAATTCCTTACTTGGAGACAGAATGAAATAATGCACCTGAATCCAAAATCCAGGATTCAACAGGGCTGTCCACACTAAGAATTAGAGCATCTTTAATATCTTCTACTGAATTTACATAATCATCATCATCTCCAGATTTGTGATTTTATTTGTTCTTTGGTTTTTCGTACATATTCGATAGCACCTTCAACAAATCTGACGTTGTCTTCTTCTATACATGTTGAACGCCACGTTTCTAAACAGTGTCAGTCGGATCAATGCTAAAATCTACCGATCCTTGAGCTTCCACTACTTCGTGGTCGTGGTATCCAGTTTCACCTTCAACAGGGGTTCATGGAGATCTTTCTAGTACAAATAATCTTCAATCTTCGCCTTTCAGAAATTGAAATCGTATCCATAAAACTTCTCAATTTCAATCTTTGAGCTTTTCATCTTCACAGATCGTAGTGATCTTGCCTAACTCTAATATTAGTTGTTAGGATTGCACAAAAACACACACTCGATCTATATGAACACTAAGAATAGGAGAGAGAAAAGGCAAGGAAAAATATTATATAGATGACTTCAAGAATATACCATAAAAGAATACAGAGAATGCACAAAGTACATCTTCAAATCACTACTTATATATAGTTCAGTTTACTATATATATATATATATATATAGTTCTATCAGATATAATCACCTACTATATATATAACTACTATCTACTATATATAATTTTACCAGATATAATCTTTTAACTATACATCATGTCTACTATATATGATCATTTACTTTATATGTCATTTACCGCATATAGTTTTACTATCTATAACCATTGAGTAATCTATAAATGAGCAACATGCTCCATAACCTAACGAGACAACCAACATTAAACATGGCACGAGAGTTACAAAATTAGTCTATTAACTCGATCAAAACACTTAATTAATAATTCTTGTATTATCGAAAAATAATTCATTAAAAAACATTACTGTAACAGCTCAAGTCCACCGCTAGCAGGTCGTTAGTTTCACGGTCTTAAAACGCGTCTATCATTTTTTTCTAATTTATTTATTTATTTGTTCCTCCTTTGGACCGCTGAGTATTACAAATCATTAGTTCTTGAAACAACTTTAGGTATTGTGTCCTCATATCAGTCTCTTATTCCGAAGTTGCTTCTTCGAACCGATGGTTAACTCAGTGCACTTTCACCATACTAATTTCTTTGTTTCGCAGGCCCTTCACACATCTTGCTAGGATCCTCGTGGGCATTCCTCGTAGCACAAGTCTACTTGTAGACAAGGGCTTAAAGTCAATCATGTGTGAGAGGTCGACAATGTACTTCTTGAGCATGGATACATGGAACACATTGTGAACAGTAGCGAGAGCTGGTGGCAAAACTAATTTGTATGCCACTGGTCCTATACATTCCAGGATTTCAAATAGACTCATAAAACGGGGGGCTTAACTTTCCCATCTTCCCAAATCTCAACACCCCTCTCATCGAGGCAACTTTGAGAAATACATGATTTCCTACCTCAAATTCGAGATCCTTCTTTCTAACGTATGCATAGCTCTTTTATCTGCTCTACGCAGTTTGAATTCTTACTATCATCTTCTGCACGGTCTCGCATGTCATTTGTACTAACTCATGCCGTAAAATTTTTTGGCTCTCCCCCTCTTGGAAAAATGCTAGGGATTGGCACCTCCTGTCATACAAAGCTTCAAAGGGTGTCATCTTAATTGTTGCCCGATAGCTATTGTTATATGCAAATTCAACTAGATGTAGGTGTTCGTAATAGGTGCCTGCAAAGTCTAAGGCACAAACCCTGAACATATCCTCTAAAATCTGGTTCAACCATTCTGTCTGCTCATCGATTTGAGGGGAAACGTTGTACTGAACCTCCAATGAGTAACCAGTGTGTTTTGGAAACTATTCCAAAATTTTTAGGTGAAGCGAGTATCTCGATATGACACTGTAGATAAAGGCATACTGACTCTCTCCTCTAGATATAATCAGGCCCACTTATCCACTGAATACGTCGCTTGATATGAAGTGCGCCGACTTCGTCAGTCTATTAATAACGATCCAAATGACAGTGAAGACTTTTC